ATATATATAACTTTTTGCTTGTGAAATGCTGTGCTTACCTTAGCTCACAGTGCCACTGGTGTCTCCTAGACAGGGAGTTAATCAGACCATGTAGGTGCACAAGAACTACGGTGTTAAATATAAGCAGTGTGACAACTTATGTCAACATGCGGTCACCAGTAAGTGTTTTACTAAACTGAAAACAGCTGAGCCATGAACTGTAAATTCATTTAAATGGTATGATGCAGAAGAACAGGGATGAACAGTTGTTTCCATGACAACGTCAGCGTGCCATTCACCAATAATTTTGAAAACATGTAATAATATGCACAGAAATATAAAGTTGTCACCTGGTTTATAGTCTGGTTTATGATATTTGTCCTCAGATCAGGTCAGAGGTTGTCATGACTGATTTACAGCACAAAGAAGCCTCAACAAAACAGGAGGAGGACAGCCTCGTCCAGTCATTTGTATCAGGGAAGTCAAATATTATATGAACCTTTTATACCACTGAATAAAAATAGGCATCAGTATTTAAGTACCCAAAGGTGACTCACACTGATTTGTAGCAGGAGATTAACACAAAGTTTCACTGAATTATTGTATCACCCTCAACATTTAATTAACAAGCTATCAATTTAACCAACATTCATGGGTTTTACAGCATACCAGATAATAAAGCAAAAACAAATACCAAACACATCAAATGTCAAAGACATCAAATGACCGCGCACTAATGTTGTTATCCAGCTCTGATGTCCATTATCAGGCACACAGTCAACCTGGTCATCCAAAGCTGGATGTCTGCTATTGTTCTGACCTTTTCACAGAATCACTCTTTCTCTTCCAAACGTGAGATCGACATTAAGGTGCTCTGGGATGTGGAATTAGTCTCTTAGGGTGTGTGAAAACAACCATGATTGTAAATTGCTCCTTTAGTGCAGATGTGCCAGACTGATTATAAAGTGACTGGGGGTTAAAAGAAAACTTAAAAATGCGTTAGTGCTTACATTCTTGTCGGTCTGAGCATCTACATAGGTTATACAGTGACCATTTACCTTATTACTAAAGAGCTTTTAAATGCTAAATGTAAAAAAGTGAAAATAATAAATAAATAAAAGGACTAGTTTCTCCTCATTTAAAATTTAATGCCTTGTGATTTATGGACACGTTCACATTCCCCTCCCCTTGCAAACCTGCTTCAGTGCTACATGTGAAGTCAACCACTCTGCAGCTCTAGTGACGTGAGACATTTCTCCCTTTTGAGGACACGCTTTGTTTCATAATCTATGTTGATATACCTAATTATAATTGTTTTCCTGATACAATGTGTTTGAGCGTGGCTGGAGTCAGTTCCAGCTGACACTGGCCGATGGGTGGAGTTACCAGTTAACCCTACCTGCATGGCGTTGGACTGTGAGAGGGAACCACCAGAGAAAATCTGCACAGGTATGATGAGAACATGCAAACTCTAAAAGCCCTTGTGTGGTTGGTAGGTCTGAACCCAAATCCTTCTTGCTGTGAGGTGACAGGCCACATCATGCCACCCGCTTTTTAAACCTGTGATTCTATAGAGCAGCTACAGTAGCTATCATCTTGGGTGTATATAATTTTTCATGATTTGCAGTATAATGTATACAACATTTTCTTCTCTTCAATGAATCTCTCACTCCAGCTCACCAGCTGCCATTTGTTTCCCATTTTTTATATTTATGTAAAACTCTAACAGCCGTAACATGGAAAACACATCATGATGAATGTATGTAACAGCAGGACACACAAACAAAGAGGTGCTTTTGTCTTTTGTTTTGGTCTTGTTCAGAATATTGTTTCTGAATATGAAATTCTTTTCAAACCATTTGCATGAAGTGTAATTTTTGAGGACACAAATTGTTGAGGACACATAAGGACACAAGCATTTTTCTTAAGAGGCCGCAAACTCCAAATGCTAATCCTACAAATCCACGGAACACATAGTACCTAATGGGAACAAATGAAAAGGGCAGGTCACTGTGCTGTGTTTGTTTCAGGAACACTGTATTACATTATATATTTGCTTCACAGTGCTGAGGTAGACATGATGAACAGTCATAATTGGATTTTGTTATATTGTGTGACTGTGTTATTAATGGTGATAATTTTTCCAGGTCGATCAGTTTGAAAATGTGATATAGTTACCCCATTAATTGTTTGGGAAGAAGGAGAAATGTTTATCTTGACCAAACATGTAGTGTAAATGGTAAAAGATAGTACATGTACAGTAGAGCAGAGGTCAGCAAAGCATTATTATATATTATTATGCGAATATA